TATTTCATAATTAAACATTTATTAAAAATCACATAAGCATTTTCATTTACATTTTTATTTACACATAAATCCTAGCAAAAAATGTAATACAATATGTACCTGTACCAAATATATTATGTCACTTGAAAGCAAAAGAATGAAAGTACAAGAGCCCACTAATCCTAGTGCAAGCTATTCCTTTACTTAGCAAATGCAATGCGGAGAGTGTGAAAACACAGCAAGGCAAGCTTGCAGAGACCTGCTCCGGTCCTCGGCCCTTCCCCCACAGCTGACCGACAGGGATGGGCACAGAGCTGGATTCTTAGTTTTCCCTTTTGTGTTAGTACTGATAAGAATGAGGGCAAAATAAAAGGTTTTTATTAAAGCCTTATCACATAAATACACTCAATTGGAGTTCTAATTTATTTTGCAATATTCTTCATAAAATAAAACTTAACTTATTCAATATTTCTTTCCCACTTGTTTTCAACAGTCCCTCTACATTCTCATTTAGCAGGCAAATGATTGGATCTTATAATTTTCCTTTGACAATTACTAGTAAATGTCTATTTGCTTCTTTACTGCTATAATTCCATAGCAGTATTTTCATATCTTCTGTTTATAACCCCTCTATCAGCCTTTCCATTGTCTTTTTTTTAAAGAACAAATTCCCCTTCATCTTAAATGTTAACCTTGACAACATGTGACCTGCTCTCCATACATATGAAACCTGGCTTTCTCTTTCTCTCACCCTTCTGGTCAACTGACAAGCCTACAGATCAAAAGGCTCTTGGCTCCTACTTTATAATTCCATAGTTATCTCTCATTACTTTCTCATTCATGAGCTATTCCACTCAACACCTGTTTACTGAGAATACAATGCACCAAGCACTTTGACGAGTGCTAGGGAGATACAGATTACGAGTGCTGTATAATCTAGTAAACGGAACAGGTGGGTCAAGTATAAATTATATAATTTTTATAAGAGATGAAAATGCAAAGACCACATGTAGCAGAGAAGAACTATTGTCTAAACCTATCTTAGGCAATTCTCTAACTAAAGTCCATGCCATCTATATAAATGTCTTTTCTGTGTCTACTCTTGTCATCTACAGACCTTAGGAAGCCTCTTATCTCTCAGTAGAAATTTTGGCCCTGAATATGAGTTACTAACATTCTTCTTATTCTTCAAATGGGCTGCAAAAAATCTTTGGTGACTACAATGTCAAAATATGCAACTTTTCTAAAACCTGTCTTGTATTAGAGGTCTCCATTTATTATAATGACCTTGTTTTTTAACCTCTGCTATGGAGCTTCCAAATTTGAGTCATCATTTTGAACTGTTCTACCTCTAAGATTTCGAAATTCAAAGACAAATTTCCATATGCCTGACCTTCTATCTCCTTTCTTCCCACAAATATTATTAAGTCTCTCTAATCTGCCAAGTATTTCCTAGGTGCAGGCAAATCAGTGTGATCTCAGTTTTAGAAAGTCCCCTAGCCTTTTAAAGTTTACAAGCTAACAAATGATACAAAACTAAATTTAATGAGCTCAATATGGAAGATGACAGTGATAAGTGCTAAAAGAAACATAAAGCAAGAAAGACAGCATATAGGCTTAAGCTACTTTTCAAATCCAAATTTTAGGAAGGATGTGGCAAGTGAAGGCTGACTAAGCCCTGAAGGAAAAGAGGCAATATGTATACGAATAAATGATTACGTTACTGGTTTACTGTTTTCATTGTTTTCGAATGTATTTCTTCTACTTATAAAACCTAATGTTTCCTGTAAAGCACCATACTGTGCTATACCAGTAGCAGCCTCTATGTCTTGTGTTTAACCCTACCTCTTGATCATATCAAGAGGAACATAGTATGGTTTAGTCACACTATGCTGCTGTAATTACAACCTGTGATGTTCACATAATGCAAAATCCTTTAATGACACAGTTCTTAGACCTTGTACCTGTCTCTGAATGACCCATTATGGCATATATTTCTAGCCCTAACTCACAATGAATTATCTTTTCAGTAAACCTATTTGCATTTTCAAGTTGCCAGTTTTAAAAGAAAAATCTAAATTCAATACAATGCCTTAAAAAATTCTTCCAATCTTAACAGTCTTCTACCAACTTGTCTAGTCATACACTTGATTCTCTTTCCTCTCAGATGTAACCTACCAGAGAGTTCCACTGGCTTGTCCTCTAAAATGCATCTTGATTTAGAATACAACTTGAATTAATCTGACCAATTCTTACTACCTTATCTGCTCATCCTAGTTCAAGGTGCTATCATCTTCTGTCTAAAGAAACAAAATACAATCACTTCTCAGCCTTTTGGCTAAGATCAAGTATAGAAACAAAATACCCTCCATTTCCCATTTCTCTTCCTGGGTGCTGATCCCCCTTAGTTGTTCGCATGGAACGCAGGCTGTTGACTTAAAGTGTTTATCACCCCTCGTGATTACCAAGTCTATTAGAACATGTTCCAACCCCCTTACCTTTGAGACCCTACATACTCTCATATTTCCCTTTGTCTCTGCCCAACATTACACACACCCTTCTCTTCACTCACTGTGTTCTAGGCTCCCTGGTTTCTACTCATCAAACCTCCCCATCTTAATTTCCTCAAGGCCTCTGAACTTGCTCTTCCACCTACAGTAATCTGCACCAGATCTCTCTTTGTCGACTCATTCATGCTACCTGGCTCTCAGGTCAAACATCACCCTCTCTGAAGAGATCTTCTCTTACCATTGAATCTCATTTTCTTTCTACCAATTACCATTACTGAAAACTTCAGTATGAACACTATAAGTACTCAGTACTTGCTAACCCTGGCTACTTGTGCTTTGATACTATTCTGATTCCTCTCTAGGATCTTGTTCCATCCATTATCTCTTTTCTTTCTTGCATTTCCCATCTCCTTTTCTTTCCATTGGTGAGATGTATCTACAATACTCTCAATTTTCCCTATATCATTAAAAACAAAGAAACATTCCTTAGACTCAGGTAACCTGGATCAAATCCATGTTTTCATCTCCGCCTTATTTTTCAAAAGACTATCTTAAATCTGTTCTGCTGGTTTCTTTATTACCTTCTTTTTTTTTTTTTTTTTTTTGGTTACTTCATAAAATATGGGTCCTACTTCATTTCCTCAATGACGTTTTCCTGCATTTAGTCTCTACAGGGCGATAATTATGTCTCATTCGTCTAAACATTGGTTTCTTTTCCACTCTGGTACCCCTCCCCATTGAATCTACCACTTTTTTGTGAAAGTTAAAAAAAGTAAAAGTAATGTATGTTTATTTTAACAGCAAAAAAATACAAAGAATTATCTCCTGGAGATAAACCATTGTTATCATTTGTTGTATATATTTCCATATTTTTAGTGCTGGTAAAAGGATTAAAAATGAAAGTAGAAATACATTGATACTCTATGTTATTTTATGTAATCTCCTTAAATTTTTAAACAATATCAATTCTTTGTAGGTTAACAGATGTGAGTTTTGTTCTCTTGTCTCCATTTTATTAGTTTTAAATCAATCATCAATTTACCATAAAGCAGTTATTGAGGAGACAATCTGGTCTCATTCTTTCCAGCCTACTCTGGCCATTTAGTTGACGAGTCAGGATTTCTAATTACAGAACATACAAATTCAACTTGTTCTTAGGGAAAAAATTAAGAGAAACAATTACTTAACAGCACTCATGAATCTATGCAACATTCTTCTTACAAGGGAGGTGATAAGAATCTGCTACTGTTTTAATCAGCCTTTCTACTATAAATGAGTCTAGTGTTTAAAGAAAAGTGTAAAAGACAATCTCTTTATCTGGTGCTCAAACAGAAAATTAAAAATACTCTTTCAAATATGGTATACTGGTTTCCAGTGTGGCTCCTAAATATGGCTGCATTATGATACTTTGTGTGTGATCTGAGGAATTTTCTGGGATAGTTTTGATTACATTTTTTTCCTAACACACTGAAAACCTATCCCAGGATGATTTATCTCCCCTGCAGCTTCTGAACAAGCAAGATCCTTTTGTGTCACATTTATGTAAACGGCCTATCAATAATGATGTTGCCCGATGTAATCACAGGTCATTAAATAAAAATTAAAACACAATGACCACATATGTTCATCTTCTAGCTTCAAATTATCCCATTTAGTATTATACACTAACAGTGACTGTAGCAGGAGCCAGAATATACCTTAGGGTGAAATTTGACTTTTCAGTTAAGTCTTACAAAGTCTCCTAAAGTATGTAAATTTTAAAATTCATTACAAATATTTGCATGTTTAGCGTATTCCAAATTTCTAATTTCTAATACAAATTTTTAAAAATCAAAAATCCTTAACATTCCAACAAACAAGTCGAATTAAACGAACGTACTCATAATCCGGCTTTTTTGGTATGAATATATCTTGTTTATCATCATCCATGTTTTGTACCTCAACATAGAGGTCCGTAGTTCCACTTGTATTAAAATTCCCTTGGATATTTTGACTATACTGTTGAAGACGCTTCCATAAATCATTGTAAAGGCGTAATAGTTTAGGATATTCTCCTTCGAAGGCCTGTTTCAAAAACATAGATGCTGCCAACCAAAATTAACAACATTGGTTAGGTAAATGATAAAGCAATAAATTGTAGCAAAAATGTTTCATTTACATTTAAAAATGGTGTGGCAAATAGATCAACAGTAAAGCACAAACCAGACATGTTCCAATGATTTTTTTTAAAATAATGCGACAGTAAAACTACTTTTCCACTTATATAATTCATTTGGTATGAACAGACACACAATTACTGTTGAAAATTTCAATTTCTTCTCTTGATAACTGATAAAAGATGAACACAGAACATCAGGATATAGAAAATGACCAAAACTAACACCCAACTGACTTTACATTTATGCAGTTCTTCATCCAAAGTAACAAAAACACATTCTTTTCACGTATAGGTGGAACATTTTCCAAGATCAACAATGCTTGGGCTTCAAGTCCTACACAGCATACCCTCTCTCAGTAAATCGTTTTGTGTTACTGGTATTTTTTTTTTTTCTTTTTTTTCTTTTGGTCTTTTTAAGACAGGGTTTCACTACGCAGTTCCGATTGGCCTTGAACTCACTTTTGTAGCTCAGGCTGGCCTCAAATTCGTGGCGATCCTCCTGCCTCAGCCTCCCAAGTGCTGGGATTACAACTTTTTTTTAAAAAGGCAGGATTGTGGTATAGAATGTGTACTCAGCTGGTATAGGATTCCAAAACTTGTGTTATGGAATTTTGCTATTAATAGCAGAAACACAAGTTATGGAATCCTATACCAGCTGAGTACACATTCTATACCACAATCCTGCCTTTTTAAAAAGCAAAGTTGGGATACATAGCATAAAGCCTTTTCCAACCTGCTAACTCTCTAACCATCAGTCTACTTATAATATGAAGATGATCACCCCCAATCTCAAGGAGAAAATAAAGGCTACTTGAAAAGAATCCCTTTAACATTTTACTCCTCCTACCCATGCCAACAGCGGTTTTAGTAGCCAATTTGCTGGACAGGAGGAAGTGCCCATTCTATACAAAAACAAACTTCAACTTCTGGTTTGATCCTATTCCACTTTTATTGTATGTCTTTTGTATTTTAGCTTTCCACTTTCCACTAGTTCCTTTCCAAGATCAATAAAACATTCCGTCTCCTAACATGAAAAACCAAAACTACAGAGAATGTGGCAACACAATTTCCCTTGACCCTGTAACTGTCCCCTTGTAGCCACTGTCCTGCTGCTGTGTAATAATAGCCTACACACATTTCTTTTCTTCTTCCTGACTGCAACCAGACTTCCAAATGACACAGTGCCAATGGAACTATTTTAGTCAAAGTCACAATATCGCTTTAACTGCCAAAAACAGTGGGCACTTTTCTGATCTCTTCTTATTTGATCTGAGGATAACTCTGAGAAACTCTCTCCATGACCCCTTTTGTTCTTGGGTTTTCCACTTCTCTCTCTGTCTCTAAATATATATATATATATGAGGTCTTGCTATGTTGCCCAAGCATCAAACTCACTACCCTACCTAAGCTTCCCCAGTAGTAGAGACTGTTGACACATGCCACCCTGCTCAGGTTCAGATTTGTTTTTTTTACTCTTCTGTGCTGACTGCCTTCCTCTGCCTGAAATGCTTTCCTTGAAATTTTGAAAACAGTGGTGTTACAGGTTTCAAATATATAAAACACAGAGAATAGTATAATGAATCTCCATGTATCTGTCACGTAACTTCAACAATTACCATGCAATCCTGTTTTTTTCTGTATCTCTAGCCATTCCTCCCTACCATTACCAATTATTTTGCACAAGTCAAATATTTGATTCATATATTCATCATGTATCTCTAATAGCAGGGACTGTTTTCTTTTAAAATTATATCCACAGTTCTCTTGTAATACTTTACTAAATTAACAATCACTGATCACATTTGCTTGATTAATTTAGAACCTCTAAAATGAATTTAGGATTCATAAGTAGTGCATATAAAAAAATAGTTGATATATCACCAAACCGAATCTGTACTTTCCCTCTCTTTTTATTGCTTTTGATTCCTTAAGAAACTAGGTCATCTGTCTTATAGAGTTTCCCAGACTTTCCATTTTGCTGAGTGCACCCTCTTGTCCCTCTATTTCCTGTAAATTATCAGTTGGATCTAAAATAGTGCCTTTCAACTTTGGCTGCACACTCACACAACCAGTGAGCTTTAAGAAATCTCCATGTTTGTGCTGTGCTCTGAGAGACTGTAACATCAGCCCACACTTTGGAATTTCTAAACACTAAGTGATTCTAAAGGGCAACCAATTTGAAAACCACTGATATAGGTCATAATTTGATCAAATCCTAGGGGTGTGTGTAGGCTACATTCCAAGCCAATTTTTTTTTTTTTAATTTTGAGATACAGTCTCACTAAGTTGCTCAGGGTGGGCTTGAACTTGTGATCTTCCTGCTTCAATCTCCTAGAGTACTGGGACTAGAGACATGTGCCACAATATCCAGGAAATCCTAAGCTGCATAACTTCTGACAAGCTGGCTACACATGTAATGTCTAAATTTGTGTACTGCTTGCCTTTTTAATGAAATTAGCAGCTATTAATAACCATTGTCTATATTAAGTCAGTGATTATAAAATGAAGATAGTCTAACATTCCTTCTGCATGTATTAGAGACAAAACTTTTATATACAGATACTTCTATCATAAATTATTTGGCTTCTCTGAAATATGTATAGAGGAGTGAGAGTTTGAGTTTTCTCCCTTTATTCACTGATTTTCAAAGGTCTACAACAATGTTGAAGTGTTTGTAGCAATGTAAGTTGAACTCATGGATTTGGGTATATTTAAGGCATTTAAGTTCCTTGCAACTATTAACTTTATTGATGCTTAATTTATTGCATCTCTAGTAAATGCCTGTTCAAATTGCTTTCTGAGCCTTTTCAATGCAACTTGGTAGTCTCTGACATTTTCCTTTCTTGGAATAAGAGGTCACAGAATTATCCTGGTCTTTCCTGCCACAGACCTGGTATCACTCATTTCTTTAAGGAATCCTTCTTTCTTTTAATAGAAAATCATGTTTAAAGGCCATAACCTGGGTTTCCAGAAAGGCTCAACAATACTGGAATATTCATTATTTCTAGGTTTTTTCAGGCATGAAATATATTTATCAAATTATATTGATTAAAGAAAAACTATCTCATCAGTTCATTTTGCTCTCATCCACTTTATATCCTCTTTCTCTCAGGATGAAAATCCTGATTCACTATGGTATAACATAATTAATCATTTACTTTCATCAAAGTCATATGTACAACAGTCTGACACTAACAATGCTGTCACCAATATCTTGAATATTGGAAAGACTGGCTTTTGGGGCAGTCCTTCTGTACTCTAAGTATATCTCAATAGGATTAACAGAAACAAATTAGTGTATTTAAAAGTAAAGGTTAAGCCAGGCACAATGGTGTGCTTCTGTTATCTCACTTATGAGGCAGGCTGAGGTAGAATTCTGTGGTTTTTTGTTTTGTTTTGTTTTTTGCTTTTCTTCCGGTACCAGGAATCGAACTCATGACCTTGTGCTTGCCAGGCAGGCGCTGTGCTGCTGAGCTAAATCCCCAGCCCCCGAGATAGAATTCTGGATAAAAAGTTGAAACTCAGCTTGGGCAAAACAGTGAGACTTCATCTCAAAATAAAACAAAATGAAATGACAAAACAAAGATAAGTGAGTAAGTAGAAAATCAAAAGACATCCTCTCTGTGTGATTATGCCATATATTTACATTTAATTGCTTCATTTTTTGTTTCAATTTTAGGAAATTTTTCTCTTTTTTTGGTTTGTTTTATAAGTAACATAGAATAGGTATATGGCCTCAAATTTATATCTACACAACAAAGTATATGCAAAGAAGTCTAACCTTTTCCTTTTTTTTATTTTTTTAATAAACAAACAAAATTTCAAAACAATAAGAAAATAACAATAGTTAATACACTGTGTATTGTTATCTTCAAAGTGGTTACTCAGAATACAAGATATGGGCATAAAAAATTCTCCAAACTCTATTAGCATAAACCTTTCTTTTCAGTGAGCAAAGAGAAACTAGTAGTATGACTATCTTGTACTTTTTTTTTCTTTTTCCCTTACTTCCTTTCTCTTTTCCCGTCCTTCCTTTCCCTTTTCCCCCACCCTAGTTCCATTCCTTTTATCCTTATCTCCCTCGCATGTGTTCTTCACCTCTACCTCCAAATATTGGTAGCTACTTTTATGGGTTTTAGAGTTTATCCTCTCATTTTTTAAAAGAAGACACAGAAATGTATTTACATCACTCTTTTTCTTAGGTAAACAACAGCAAACTATACACGTACTTATTAGCAGTATACAAAGATAGCCCTCATTCTTTCCTCTATCCTCACTCCCAATCTTTCTATAGCTGCATGGCATTCTATTTCATGAAAGTGCCATAGTTTAATTAAAGTTTTAGTGATGAACATTTGGGGCATTTCCATTATTTGCTATTCCACATAATGATATGATGAATAGCCTTGTGAATAATTCTCCATATTTTGCCAGTGTATCTATGGAAGAGACTGAGGAATTATTACTGAATAAAATAATAAATACTAACTTTGTTAGGATCAAACTCCCTTCTAGAAAACTCCTATCCTGATGACCAGTGTATGTGAAGTATTTCCCCACAAAATTTCCAAGAGAATATGTTATTAAGGTTTTGCTAGAGCTGGGGATTTAGCTCAGTGGCAAAGCGCTTGCCTGGCAAGCACAAGGTCGTGAGTTCGATTCCTGGTACTGGAAGAAAAGACAAAAAATAAATAAATAAATAAAGTTTTGCTAATTTGATAGACGAGAAAGGTATCACTGTACATTTATGCTCCATTTCTCTATTTTTTGGTTATGTTGAGCATCTATTTCATATACTTAAGAGATAGCTATACTTTTTTTCCTTGATAGGGCTATTGGGTTTTTGTTGTTGTTGTTATAGAAGCTTTTATGTATTAGGGCTACTAACTCTTTTTCTTTTATGTAAATTAAGATTTTTTTCTGGTT